ACACAATTGGAATATATACGCTGCATAGCAATCATCCCCCCCCACAATGCAAAAAAACTTGGAAGGACTCTCAGGAAAAAAATAATGAGACTCAATGAGGCTTTCTTACGTAAACAATCGTTATATAATATACATCATTAAGGTACATGCTTGTCAATAACACTGTGATCTTAAAAGGGGAAAAAATCATTAAATGGGCGACATTTCGGGAAATGATTTGTATGCGTTGTTAGTTTAAGCACACACACAACTATGTGCTGGTTCCGTGTGCTCCGAGTATTATACATTTTGCGGGGCCTCTCTGTGGTCTATGCGAAGTTATGCCAATGTTTGTGTCTAGCGCGCACCAGTTTGGGATGATGATCATCGTCATCACTGGCAATTGCCTATACACTGTTGAATGAAATCCGCCTCCAGGACGATGGCGCACTAGAGAAATAGATTATGGTTTACAGGATGGAAATTATGATGACGGTGATGATGCTACATCATGCCACGGATGTCACGCAAACACAACGATCCTCCAGTGTAGCTTACACAGGCTGTTAGGGCAATTGCTTTGTTAGCGAGCGCCTTTTAAGGACGGCACGGCACATAAGGGAGCGATGTGGTTAGCACCACGTTTGGAGTAAATTTTGTCTGATGTTTTACACACTGCAGCAGGTACTCGTTTAAGGCCGAGTCGAACTAGGGGAGGGGCCCAGCATCGGTTCACGTAATTAGAAATCAAACTTCGGGTCGCCGGGTTCTGAAACCAGTGCGCTACCCACGACTCCACCACAGACAAAAATCCCCTGTGTAGCCTACTCAAGGTATCGGGGCAAGTGCTGTCAGCGAGCACCTATGAAGGCCAGAACGGCAAACGATGGAGGTGGGTGGCCGCCTCGATCTGCCCAGTGCTGATGTTGATGCACCGCACCAGGTACTCGTTGAAGGCTGATTCGACCTAGGGGAGGCCCAGGACAAAGACACCCGTGTAGCCGTCAACATACTTTTGGGGCAAGTCCTGTTAGCGAGTACCTATGAAGGCTGTCACGGCACACGATAACGGGGGGTGACCAAAACCACGCCACGCCGCTTTAGTCTTCCCAGTGCTGATGTTTCACACACGACGCCAGGTATTCATTTAACGCCGAGTCGAACTTGGGGAGGCCCAGGACAGGTTCGAATATTCGCCACTGTAATCGGTTGTGAGAGGGAATGGAACTTCGGTTGCCGGGCTTGGAACGCAACGCTCTAACCACAACACTACCGCTTCCCAAAATACAAGACAAAAACAGAGACAAAAATCCCCCGTATAGCCTTAGCAGACTGTTGAGGCAAGTGCTGTTAGAGAGCACCTATGAAGGCCGGGACGGCACACGAGGGGATGGGTGGCCAGCACCACGCCCAGCCGCCTTTGTCTCTCTAGTGGCGATGTCTACACACCACACCAGGTACTCATTTGAGGCTGAGTCGACCGCGGGGAGGCCCAGGACCGGTTCAGATAATTGTCACTGGTGTTGGGCCGTGAGCGGGAATCGAACCCGGGTGGCCAGGTTCGTAACGCAGCGTAGGGCCAATCGCTACATTACCGCTCTCCATAAGACACACACAAACTCGCATCCCATTTAATGGCAAAGAATTCGAGGAATGGGCGATTGGGAATCCAAACGGAAATAGCAGCCCTGACTCAAACACGAGGCGAGACGTCTCCACTCCAAAATAGGAATTTTCATCCGCAGGGCTCACGGTCCACGCGTGGGAGATTTAAATGACGCCCAAAGACGGAGGCGGGGGGGGGCGACTCTCTGCTCGCTTCTCCGCCCGACTGCTCTGCTCAGCTGTTCCGAGGTCTGGGATTTTTTTCGTGGCAATTGGCAATTTGCCGACTGTTGTAGCGCACGTGTCGCGTTGTAATTCGTGTTGTCACAAAACAACACGTGGTGTGTCGTGCTGTGCGAGCATGTGCTGTTTAAAGACGTGCGCTGTGTGTTTTGTTTAAAGCTCGCGTGTTGTGCGGTTTATGTGCGTTGTGTCGTATAAGCATGTGTTGTGTCAACACGTTATGCCTCGTCTGTGATCATAATAATTAGGAACTATGCATCAATTTGGGTGACCCGAGTCATTTGCTATCGTCATGGACACTCCATCACACAAAGCGGTGGCCGGCCTGTCTGTCGATGCTTATTCTCGCACGTAATCCTTGATGAATGCAAAATTAAATACGAGCCACTACGGGCGAACCACAGTAGCCTGCGCTCCGTCAACAGAGGAGCAACAGCAACACGACACGAACTCTCTCTCTCTCTGCTGAAGCCCTCTCATCGTGGCCAGCAGCAGCACGCCTCGTCACTGCCATCAAGCTCCTCAACACTCCGCTACCGTGTACGCAAGCGTAAAGGGTTGGTCCAGATGTCTTGTGACCCCCCCCCCCGTTCCTCCCATTTACTTATCTAAAACTGAATAATTTTTGTATACCAATGGGTGTGGAAACAGAAGTGAATGAGCGAAAAAGAAAAACAATATGAGGGATCAATTAATTGGGAGGGAGGGGGCTGACAAGACATCTGTATCACCACGTAGACTAGAATGAGATTGACAAATGGAATGAAATGTACCAATGAAGGAATGTAAAGGATGAAAGGGGATTCCTTCCTACCGCCGCAAAAGTCGACAACGATCCGTCCCGATGCCTCTACCTCGAACATTTCTCCTCTCACATCATTACAACACTGCTGGCATATATATTTTTTATTGTACTTGACTTGAGAGAGGGAGATTTTGGGCGTGTTTACGAGAGAGGGAGACAGAGAATGGACGATAAGAATATTTATTTATACTGTAGCTATAAAGCTCTTTTTCACAGATGCTCAAGTAACAAGACAAGCTGGAAGATACTCTAAGTGGATATAATGAGAGAGGGCAGAGACAGGGGAAGATAGCGGTGAGAGGAAACGCGCTCAGAGACGCGGCTTTTTGTGAGACAGACTCCCAACACCACTGTCGAGTCCAACCCCATCTGTGATCTAATTACATCCCACCGCGAAAATCCATCCACGTGGCGACATCAGCTCAACAGCTGTGACCAGGCGCACGTGAGGGTTTGGTCGCGTGGTGGGGTGGAGGAGATGGAGGGGCGTTTGGGGAGCTGTGGTCGGGCGGCTCTTTGACTTAATTAAGTGTGGGATGAGCGGATGTGGTGAATCAGTGCGAGTTCACAATCTGTACCTCCGCTCAAACGCTGATTCAGCCCGTGATTGTTTAACACGCGCCCTACGTGACGTGCAGAGGGGCTGATTCAGATCAAAACAAACATCTCGCGTGTGAGCGCGGTGCGGGGAGCGGTGGTGCAGCGGTTAGCGCGCCGCTCTACGAGTCCGGCGTCCCGAGTTCGATTTCCGGTCACAGCCAACACCAGTGACGATTATATGAGCCGGTCCTGGGCCTCCCCTAGGTCGACTCAGCCTCAAATGAGTAACTGGTGGGATGTGTAAACATCGCCACTCGAGAGACAAAGGCGGCCGGGCGTGGTGTTGGCCCACCCACCCCTTCGTGTGCCGCGCGGGCCTTCAAAGGCTTACAGCACTTGCCCCAACAGTCTGTTAAGGCTACACGGGGGAGATCTTTGTCTTTGTGCCCGGCACAAGCCGTGGTGTCGTCAACGTGCTGTATGTTGGCGTATGTTTGTTTATTCATGATGAAATCACGCGGTGAGGATAACATTTCAATGCCATTTGACCAAAGTGTTCATCGTCACCATCATCAATCTTGGTCAATCCACTGCTGGATGAATGCATTTGCAAGCCGCGGCGACTTTTCACGATCTTGCGATGTGAGAATGCACCTTGCGCCTGCCCGCACACTTCACGGATTGCATCGCTCCATCTCCTGGAGTGGACGAACCTTCTGGACGCGTTTTATTTCTCGGCTGATATCTTCCTACGAGAAGAAGTCTTGTTTTTATTTATGCTATGATGATTCACCAAAACAGGAAGGCGAACCATCGAACAGAGGGTCACCGCATTGCGCGCTTTCAGATGCGCTTTTGCGGCCGTCTGGAACGTTCTTCCTTCCGACATTAGGAAGCCACTAGAGAGCTATGCACACTTTTAAATAATGTAAATTATAAACCCAGTTCTTTAGAACTGCTTGTTGTGTTTAGTGTTTTGTCCTTCCCCCGCACCTACGTACGGTGCGAAAGAAGTTCAACAACGAACACACGCTAAACATTACCGTCTACAGGGATAGCCCGTACAGTCCACATGTACTGTACGTAGATATATACTGCACCACAACTCGCCACCGTGGAAAAAGCAGACTCCAGTTTTATTGAAAAAATTATGAAGAACAATAAATTAGTTTCTTTATATAAAAACGTATTAAAAATGTAACAAAAAACAACAACAGCGATTCGATCTTGCCAGGAAATAAGTTAAACACGTTCACATTGAATCACGCGGTGAAAAATGCACATTCTGGTATAATCAGCACCCCCCCCCCCCCCGTGCCAGCCACAGTTCCCATCACCCACGAGCGTTCACATTCCGGCTCTGGGAGAGAGACACATTGACTTCCTCGAGTGTGGAGAGACTGCGGCGTAGGAGGGCTGGTGAGTCGGGGGAGGGGCTGGTGAGTAGGGGAGGGGGGGGGGCTGGTGAGTAGGGGGGGGCTGGTGAGTAGGGGGTGGGTGCTGGTGAGTAGGGGGGCTGGTGAGTAGGGGGGGGGCTGGTGAGTAGGGGGGGTGCTGGTGAGTAGGGGGGGCTGGTGAGTAGGGGGGGGCTGGTGAGTAGGTGGGGTGCTGGTGAGTAGGGGGGGCTGGTGAGTAGGGGGGGGGCTGGTGAGTAGGGGGGGTGCTGGTGAGTAGGGGGGGGCTGGTGAGTAGGGGGGGGGCTGGTGAGTAGGGGGGTGCTGGTGAGTAGGGGGGGCTGGTGAGTAGGGGGGGGCTGGTGAGTAGGGGGGGGGCTGGTGAGTAGGGGGGGGCTGGTGAGTAGGGGGGGGGCTGGTGAGTAGGGGGGGTGCTGGTGAGTAGGGGGGGGGGGGCGAGTTGGGGGGGGGGCGAGTTGGGGGGGGGGCTGTGGGTATGAGACCGGAACTGTATACTTAGTACCACACGATGTTGCCCTTCACAACAACAATACCACGACAGCAAAAACAACTGATTGTGCTAACCACGGAAGTAATATTTGTGCACAAAACAGACATTTTACCATTTCCTGAGAGTTTGGCGTCCGCAGTATTCGTCAACAGAATCCTCTGTGCATCAACACATTTATATACTTTAAAAAATGTACAAAACTCACACTTACACACAAAGGTCCCCAGTATAGCCTTAACAGACTGTAGGGGCGAGTGCTCTTAGGCACCGAGGGTGTGGGTGGTCAGCACGACGCCCGGCCGCCTTTGTCTCCCGAGTGGCGATGTTTACTACACAACGCACCGGTTACTCATTTGAAGGGAGGCCCAGGACCAGTTCAGATAATCGTCACTGGTGTTGGCCGCTGGGTTTGTAGCGCAGTGCTCAAACCGCTACACTATCGCTCCACATACATACACGCAGACACACACACGTGCTGTCATTCGTACCTCCTATAATCGCGACATGTACATCGTAAACTGTCACGGAACCGGCCTGGTTCTGTCTCACCGTGTCCCTGTAATACCCCCGCCCATTGTTAATCTGAACTGCCCAGTTTCTCAATCAAGCCATGGGATCAACGGTTGTGCAAAAACTGCGAAACAGCTCACAGTCACCACCCACCACTGCCCTCACTTGGTGCAGCTACCACGGAGGCGATCCCAGCTGTATGACAAAAAAAAGTAAAAAAAATGAGCCAGTTCCTCGCGTTGGCGGATGCGACCTCTCCGTCAGACATTCGGCTAAATTAACACTCAAGGTCTTTCCAGTCGCCAACACAGGAGCGGAACCACGTCTCGGGTGGTTTCATCTCGACACGGAGCTGGCCGGCAAGAGCGAGCCTCCGCAGACTCGTGCCAGAGCGTGAACAGTGCCCCCATCACAAGTCCGCTCCTCAACGTTTCCCGACACGAACTGCCGGATAAAATATAAATTATATATAACACTAACATGAAAACACTTTGCTCGTGGCTCCAGTTTCAAGGGCCGACGAAGTCCATCTCTGGGGTTTTACAATCTCAGGCTACTCGTGCCGGTGGAGTCATTGATGTTTGGAACTCGAAGTCAAAGTGCGATGATGATAGTGGCGATGATGCCGCACGAGACCGGTTTCTCCTGGGAAGCTGAGCTTGGACGGTAAGCGCCCTGTCTGCTGGAGAAGCCGCTGGCGGCGACGCCACGGCCGACGCGTTCCGGTTCCTCTACGGATCCGAGACTGCGAAACGCGGGGACGAATTCGTGACCTCCAACAACCCCGAAGACCCCACGAGCCGCCAAAACATCCGAGTCCGTGGACATCAAGAGCCAGCGGCCACGTGCCAGCTCGTCAGCTCGTCAGCAGGACGAGACGGGAGGGACGGGGCTGAGCACGGGAAGACTTCCGGGCGAGAAGCTGAACACGGAGCAGGGGGACGACGGAGCCACGGGGGTGCCGGGAAGGGCGCGGGGGGTCGACCCGGAAGCGTCGTCGCCGTCGCCGCCGCCGTCGCCGCAGTCGGCCGTCCCCGCGTCTTCCCGGGGCGTCGCGGCCAGGAGCTGCGCCTCGAACTGCAGCAGCTGCCCCATGAAGCCCAGGTTGGGCGACACGACGCTGCGTCGGCCCTTGAGGAAGGCGAAGGCTTCCTCCAGGCGCATGCGGCTCCGCCACATGAGGTAGGCGAGGCAGATGGTGGCGGAGCGAGACACCCCGGCCTGGCAGAAGACGAGGACGCGACCTCCGCGACGTCGCTCCGACTCTGTAGCGAGGGGGATGGAGGGGGGGGGGGCAGGGTGAGCACCGGGCGGTGGTGGATCGGGGGACGCGGGTGGGAAGCTAACGAGACAAGGTGGTGCCGCCTCTACACGGAGTTTGCCAATTGTGACAATTAACGAGCAGATTGACGCAACCTGTCCAACACGTCCACCCTCAACCCGAGCCACTCCTCACCCCAACCCCTCTTAACCCTTACCCATGTCAACCCCAACCTCACCTGACCATAGCTCCCCACCCTCAGCATCCTGCTTACTTCTAAATCCCAACATCTTTCACCTCCTAATCCCTCTTCATCAAAATCTTACCGCTAACACCTCATCTCAACTTCTCTTTACTCACCATTACACCCTCCCCCCCCCCAGCCTCCGGTTCCTCACCCCTACCTCTACCCTCCCCGCCGTCACTCACCCACCAGCCCCCCCCCCCACACGCCCCAACTCTCTTACTAATCTCTCTTCATGAAAATCTCACCGCTAATAACCCTCCTACCCACCCCCGGTTTCTCACCTCTTCCTCCCCCCCCACACTACTACCCCCCCCCCCCCCACACACTACCCCCACTCTCCACTCCACCACGTCGCTCACCTATGAACTGGATGGCGCTGCGGAACCAGACGGCGATGTCTGCAGCAGGGGAGTCGGCGACGGGCACGGAGAGGTAGCGCATGACGGCGGCGGGGCCCGCGCGCTCCGCCTCGCGTCCCGTCACGTCCAGCAGGGCCGTCACGCCGAGCGTGCGCAGGGCGCCGTGCTGCGACGAGTGCAGGGCGCTGCCCAGCAGCAGGAAGGGGCGCAGCTCCACGGGACCGCCCTGCGCGCGCGGCGGCGAGGAGGAGGAGGAGGAGACACGCCGACGTTATTAACAAGGATTTATGAAGAGGGGAAGGGTCGTTGCGCGAAACGTCGACCATCGTAATTTTTTCCCCCTTTGAAAGTCACACGCGGTGGTGTTGTTATTGATGAGAGTGTTGGGTCGCTGTGTTGTTTGGGCATCACTGCCAAGGCAGCAGCAGCAGCGTCACCAAATAATGTTGTTTAATCATCCATCAGCGGATTGAGAATGGGGTTGTGCACGTGAACGACGTCATACCGGTGACAAAGATACCCCCCTCCCCCCGTATAGCATTAACAGACTGTTGGGGCAAGTGCTTTTGTCGAGCAGCACCTTTGATGGGCGGCTCGGCACACGAGGGACCAGCGCCGGGTGAGGGGCACACACACTGAGGGTGTGTGGGGGGGCTCACGTAGTCGTACAGCGGTGTGGGGGTGTGTGGGTGTGTGTGGGGCTCACGTGCTCGTACAGCGGTGTGGGTGTGGGGGTGTGTGGGTGTGGGGGTGTGTGGGGGCGTGGGTCTGGGGGGATCACGTGGTCGTACAGCGGTGTGGGTGTGCGGGTGTGTGAGTGTGTGGGTCTGGGGGGATCACGTAGTCGTACAGCGGTGTGGGTGTGTGTGGGTGTGGGGGTGTGTGGGTGTGTGTGGGGGGCTCACCTGATCGTACAGCGGCGTGACCCCGTGGCCCCCGCGGGGGGTGCAGGTGTTGGGGGAGCCGGGCAGGTCGGGTGGCGCGGCCGAGAGGCGGCAGAGCTCGGGGTAGGCCGCGTGGAAGGCAGAGAACCCCCCTGTCCACGAACACACACACACACGTTAATACACACGTCAGCTCGGCCATACATCAATACATGTACATGGGCCTCAATACATTCTCACGTGGATTAATATAGACAATAAATTTCCATACTCATATTAAGAAATACCCAACAAAAGACAAAAAAAACCCCGTATAGCCTTAACAGACTATTGGGGCAAGTAACGTTGGCAAGCAAATGATGAAGGCTGGCACGGCACACGATGGGGTGGGTGGATGTTTATTCACACCACACCAGGAACTCATTTAAGGCCGATACACCATTGGGGCTCAGGACCGGTTCAGATATTCGTCACCGATGTTGGCCCGATCGCGAATCGAACTCGGTTGGGAGCGTCAGACTCGTCACGCGGTGCGCTCACCACACAAAGTCAAAGATCCCCCCCCCCCACCCCCATATCGCATCAACAGACTGTTGGGGCAAGTGCTGTTTGCGAGCACCTGATGAAGGCCGGGAAGAGCACACAACGTCCTTTTGTCCCCCCCCCCCCCCCAGTGCTGATGTATTACACGCAGCGCCACACACATACACCTCAACATACAAACACCACACACACACACCACAGCGCCACACACACCACAGCGCCACACACACACACCACAACACAGCATCACACACACATCACAACACAGCATCACACACAGACCACACCGCAGCGCCACACAACACAGCGCCACAACAACACACACCACAACACACACCAAACACACCACACACACACCACAGCGCCACACACCACCACACACATACCACAACACAGCATCACACACACATCACAACACATCATCACACACAGACCACACCGCAGCGCCACACAACACAGCGCCACACCAAACACACCACACACACACACCACACACACCACACCGCAGCGCCACACACACACCAGACACCACCAGGGTGCTCACCCGCCAGGAAGACGAGCGGCACGCGCGGCGCGTGTTGGCGCAGCGCGAGCGCCGCCGCCCGCGCGGTGCTCTCCTCGCCCAGCGACTCGAAGCTCGGCGACCCCTCGTCCACGAGCACGAGGGAGGCCACGCCGCCCGCCAGCAGGCGAGCCCTCGCCTCGGGGCAGGGCACCGCTCTCTCCAGGGTCATCCCCGCGGCGCCGCTTCGTCTCCTCTCGAGCGCGCCCCAGCGCACGCACACGGAGCCGCGCACCCGCGCCGCGCCGAACGCCAGGAAGGCGCGGCAGTCGAGGACGAGGCACGAGGATGGAGCGAGGTCGGCTTTGACCTCCTCCTCGTCGTCATCCGCGTCGCCGGCGCTCGAAAGCGGCAGCAGCTCCCGCAGTTCGCGAACTTCGATGCTGGCTACTTCCATGGTCACCATGTTCTCTCTGATCGTTGCGGCTCTCTCCCTCGTTGCGGCCGTCGCACTTCTGAGTGTTGACGCGGAGCGAATTGGCTGAGTTGTCGGTGACGGCGGCACGGCTCGGATCTTCCGTTTATATTCTGTGCGAGGGTGACGAGGCGCTCCGTCACGGAGCCGGGGCAACTCCCTCTCGACGCTTCCTGTCAACAAGCCCCTGCGGGTCCTGGAGGCTCAGACGGGTCCCCCCCTCCCCCTGTGTGCGTGTGTGCGTGGAGGGTGGGGAGTGGATGTGGTGGTGGGGGGGGGCACGGCACTCTGCAGGAAAAGCCTCTGAACGCCCACGCAGCAGCGCGCGCGGTGACTGCGAGCGCCGCGCCCCGTCCACGCGGCCGCAAACTCCGGCCCGAACTCTCTGCCTCGTCTCCTCCCCGTGTCGCCACGCTTCCCCCTTCACGCTTCGCCTGTTCTTGCTCCCCGCCACAGTCTTTCCATTGTGCCACTCCCTCTGCCCCCCATTTACACCCCCCCCCCACCACTTCCCTCCTCGTCCTCCTCCCCCGCCGCCACCACTGTTCACGTGTGACCGACCGTGGTCACAAAGCGACGGAACACGTGCTCGTAAACAATGAGGACAACAACAACAGTGGCGGTGGCGGCGGCGAGAAGTGGCAGATTACGCACGAACGTTGGAGCGCACGTGCCGTTGTGGGGGGGGGGGGCGGCGCGTCGATGTATGTGTGGTTGCGAATGGTCGTGCAAGTGTGAGATGATGCGCGTGTGCGGGTTTGTCCAATGGGCACGTCACGTGGACTCAAAGTGCACCTAGCCTGGCGTAAGAGCTGTGGAAACCACTGCTGCTGCCAGCGGGCGTTCGACACTTCACGTGGTCTTAAAGTGCTCATAGCCTGGCACAAGCGCCGTGGTGGCGTCACCTCCACTTAGTGGCGAATTCCGCTTGATTTTTGTAGAGTGATATACGGTGTGTGTGTGTGTGTGGTTAGTGTATGTGTGGAGTGTGTATGATGGCGCGCGCGCGTGTCTGTGTGTGGTGTGTAAGTGGACACCGTGTCCCGTGAGATTCAAGAAGTCAGAACCCTCGCCCTCCTATTAGCCCGAAACTTTCACTTAATGTCTTAATGGGTCGTTAACGGAAGTGACGCCCAACTATTCACAGGGGGCTTTACACCGAACGAGACGCAATGGATATTGGAACTTTGGGTTCACTGACAGCGGCTTGGGGGGTTGGGGGGGGGGGTCACCCTGCGTCACACGCGCGTCTGACGTTCGCAGTCAAAAATGTGGGTTTGTTGATTTCCAAGCGAATCGACGGTAACAGCTCTGGGGGCTTTTCTCGGGTTACGACAACGGCATTGAAAACTTACACGATATTTAAAACTCAAAGCCTACTCACGTCCCCCCCCCCCCCCTAAACCCACCAATCTCAATATTTGAAGATTCTCCCACCAATGGCCGGCCAAATGAACTTACGAAATTCCATGTTGCGTCAGCCCCGAGGTTCAATAGGTTGTGATCCATGACAATAGCAGTGGGGTATCCATAAATGGATCGCCTTACACACGCACGGTAATATCCGTTTAAAGCGTTACTGCTACATTGATGTGAGCCGCGACCCAGGTGAGGTCGCGGCTAACATCAGTGGCGATTATCTTAACCGGGCGGGTGCCTCCCCCCTAGGTAAACTCAGCCTTAAGTGGGTACCAGGAGCGCGTAGCATTAATAGCCGGCTGTCGTGGGTTCTGGCTAACAGTACTTGCCCAGACAATCTGTTGAAGGCTATACGGGGGATCTTTGTCGGTGTGTACCCTATGTGTATGTACACGTGTGTGTATGTTTGTTACTCCGTGTTCCCAACTGTTCCGTGATCTGACTGCGGGCGCCCTTCAACGCTTCCTGTTCGGAGTGACTCAGCGATGCAGCGTGCACCCTACACACACACTCACCCTACACACACACACATACCCTACACACACACACACACACCCTACACACACACCCTACACACACGCACCCTACACACACACACCCTACACACACACACATACCCTACACACACACGCACCCTACACACACACACCCTACACACACACGCACCCTACACACACACACCCTACACACACACACACCCTACACACACACGCACCCTACACACACGCACACACACCCTACACACACACACACCCTACACACACACACACCCTACACACACACGCACCCTACACACACACACCCTACACACACACACACCCTACACACACACGCACCCTACACACACGCACACACACCCTACACACGCGCTCACCCTACACACACACGCTCACCCTACACACACACGCACCCTACACACACACGCACCCTACACACACACACACCCTACACACACACGCTCGCCCTACACACACACGCGTACCCTACACACACACACACACCCTACACACGCGCGCACCCTACACACACACGCACCCTACACACACACGCACCCTACACACACACGCTCGCCCTACACACACGCGCGCGCACCCTACACACACGCGTACCCTACACACACACGCGTACCCTACACACACACGCTCACCCTACACACACGCGTACCCTATACACACACACACCCTACACACACGCGTACCCTACACACACACACACACACCCTACACACACGCGCGCGCACCCTACACACACGCGTACCCTACACACACGCGCGCACCCTACACACACACGCACCCTACACACACGCACCCTACACACACGCGCTCACTCTACACACACGCGCACCCTACACACACACGCTCACCCTACACACACGCGCGCGCACCCAACACACACGCGTACCCTACACACACACGCGCACCCTACACACACGCGCGCACCCTACACACACACGCACCCTACACACACGCGCTCACTCTACACACACGCGCACCCTACACACTCGCGCACACTAACCACCGAGACAAAGATCACCCGTATAGGCTTAACAGGCTGTTGGGGAGAAAAACAACTGCTAGCGAGCACCTATGATGGCGAACACGGCATACGACAGGGGGCGGGTGACCAGAACCACGTCCGAACGCCTTTGTCTCCCCAGTTTATGAATGTACTTTCAGGCTGAGTCGACACGAATGTGCACTAACCATTACGACACCGCCCCCCACACACTTGATCAGATAAATTTGGGTGGCCCAAAAATCAAGACACATGGTGTTACATTTATTTCCGCAAATAATATTGGATTATTTAATTTATTAACACATCTAAATGACCTCAATTAACATGAATGCATGTATAAATTATCTTCTGCATTGAAATTCGAACTTACATGTGTAAACTCTAACAGGTGTAAACTCTTAAACGTGTAATCTCTTAGAGGTGTAAACTCTGAACATTTATCAATTATGTTAAGTCTCAATTCATTCAGGGTTCTTGGTCGAGATTTGTAAGCGACTGATTTGAGGTGGCCCCAACAGGAAAAAGAAGAAACATAGATCTAAAAAATAATAGATACTTTATTGACTTAAAGTATAAACAATTACAATGTTTAATGCTGGTGTTACGATACATTAAATGACCCTGTAGATGTGCTTTAGCACATACAAACTCGACACACAGACAATCTCATATACACATAGTGCACACACCGCACCTCCGATTTGCACGATTGGCTACGTACGGTACGAAAGAAGTTCAACATACCTTACACATACCATTGCCCCGCATACACATACACACCGTTCATATTCTATAGACACCAAAATACACGTACCGTTACACGCGGACCACATACACCCACAACACATACACCCACAACACATACTTACATACACACACCAAACACACGATATACATAATAGGTGTCGTGTACAGTATATGCATGCACCTCAGAAGCGTACATACACAGCATACACAAAGTTCCCCCATATAGCCTGAACAGACTGTGGGGGCAAGTGCTGTTAGCGAGCACTTATGAAGGTGGGCACGTCACACGAGGGGGTGGGGTGGCCAGAACTATGCCCGGCCGCCTTTGTCTCCCCAGTGGCGGTTTTTTTTCACAGGCTGAGTCAACCTGGGGGAGGCCCAGAACCGGTTCATATAATCATCACTGGTGTTGACCGTGAACGGGAATCGAACTCGGTTCGCGGGGTTCGTAGCGCAGCGTTATAACTGCTACTCTACCGCTCCCCACACACACACAGATATACACACACAGACACACACACAGACATACACACACACATAGACACACAGACGCACACAGATACACACACAGACATACACACAGACATACACACAGACATACACACACAGACATACACACACAGACACACACACAGACATACACACACAGACACACACACACAGACATACACACATACATACAAAGATCCCCCGTATAGCCTTAACAGACTGTAGGGGCAAGTGCTGTTAGCGAGCACCTATGAAGGCCGGAACGGTACACGAGGGGGTGGGTGGCCAGCACCACGCCCGACCGCCTTTGTCTCCCTAGTGGCAATGTTTACACACCGCACCAGGTACTCATTTGAGGCTGAGTCGACCTACCACATACATACACACACAGACACACACACACACAAACAAAGATAAAGATCCCCCGTATAGCCTTAACAGACTGTAGAGGCAAGTCCTGTTAGCGAGCGCACACACACACAGACATACACACACACACACACCAGCGTGTCCGTCTTGCGCAATCCATTAAGACAACCCCAAGGTACATTCTCCACTCTGAATGTTTTTTTTATATATATCGTCATCATTATTTGTCTGCATGCTTCCTGACGCGAGCGAGTAAACATTCTGAGTCACCGCGAGCCAGATGCTCATGTAAGGCGCATATTTACCCGCGATGCTGGCTCTATAATCGTTAGTTGTTTATTTAGATGCTTTGTTTCCTTGCCTCTACAGATGATCGAGGCAGTCTACAAGCGGCCAACTCAGAACCATTTCTCGCCACCACTCGACACCGACAATTAGTTAAAGTTTAGATTTCGATTTAAAGCTTTCGTGACTGCAGGGATTCATCTTCTTGGTTCTTTCGGTAAAGTCACGTAGAAGGGAAATAAGAAAATGATAAAAAATATAAGTA